TATAATTGATCCCAAGTATAGCCTCAATAAGATCTCAATTTTGGTTTTAAGTATTGCTTTGAAATCCCGATAATTGACGTCAATTGGGATCAAATCAGTTGGTCTTCTCTTTCAACCCCTCCTTCTTATAATATCTTCGTCTGACGTCTTTGAGTGCATTGAAGGCCAACTTGATGTTGAAGTCAGATCCGAGTCCAATGGTGTTTGAGATAATGGAGTCCTGAAGGAATCCCTGGAGTTTGTGCGGCCAATAGCCATAAGTGCGGCTCTCGATGCCGACGGTTCTCAACGCGTGGTCGACATAGACTTCAGGCGTGGGAACCATTAGAGAGGAGCGACGGATTTTACTCATGTTTGTCATGACATACGCGGGTAACACACTCTGAATGGTGATGCCTTTGTTGGCGTACTCCACCTGAAGGGCTCGCGACAGGAAGTCCACGTAGATCTTGGACGAGGCGTACAGAGACAGCAATGGCATCGGATATGACGCCGAATATGAGGACAGGTTTATGATAACTCCACGTCTTTTGGCCTCCATTTTAGGCAAAACCAGTTCAATGATTCGCGTCATTGATATGATATTGCAGTTAATGATCGATTCAATCAACTTCTGTGAGTCCGGGATTTGAGTGAAATATTCGGGGTATGAGTAGGAGATGCCGACGTTGTTGATCAGCACATGGATGTCGTCCAGTGAACCGATAGTGGCCTCTAAGCGATCGTATATATCATTTTGGGTGAAGTCGACGGCAAGAACTCTCACTTCAGAGCACTTCTTGTGTTTCGCCAAAATCTCTTCTTTCGTTTTGTTCAGTTTGTCTTCACTTCTGCTGATTAGCAGCAAATTGTATCCCATTTTAGCCATCCTCTGGGCGTAAGCCTTTCCGATGCCATCGGTGGCGCCCGTTATGATAGCCCAAGTCTTGTCGGACGGACACCACTTGACTCCGAGTCCCAAACTGGAGGCAATGAAAGAGGTCCACAAACCTCGAGACAACTTCCACAACAGCCATAACACCACCACTAATACACTGAATCTTCCCAACAGATCATACATTGCAGACATTTGTGGCACTGATTGTGCAGTAGTTGTAAGAAATGTATTCAAATATATTTGCAAACAATTGAATGATTGAAACGAGTCGTCAGTGTTTTCACAGTTTGTCGGCTCTTATGATGTCATCGAAAGACACGACAATCAGACCAACACTTCATTGCATTCAATACTAAATGAATGAATCGATCGCTTATTTCACATGAAAGCAAATACTCATGAAAGGGAGGACTCACTCACTGGCAGTCACTGCACACCCTCGGCCTCACTTCGATGAATGCATTGCACACTAAGGGCCCATAAAATCACTCTTTAAGATCACGTCATTTGTTACGTTAGTTTTCCCTCAAAACCTGTATTTAATTAATTAAACTAATTTTAATTGTGCTAAAAATACCCAAAATCTACTTTTTGAAAGATAACTATTTCACTTTGTTTATGATTACATAAAAGTATTGTAAATATGTTTCTTATTTATTTAAGTTTTTTTTGTTTGGAAAACTTTTTTGGTTAAATTTCATTCATAAATCTGTAAATAAACTTATTTTTCAAGTTATTACACTTAATTTGAATTCATTTATTCATAACTTTTAATTCCCAAATGAATAATTTGTGAAAATATCAATTATTTGTTGAAATGCTGTGAATTTATTTGCATATTGAATAAATTGTAATATGATTTACGCGTTATGGCATAAACTTTATGTTGTATTCATGGACCCAATTATGATCATAAATTTCAGTAATGCTTTTCGTAAAGTTTATTTTATAAAATTTTAAGGAAATAAATATTTTGAATTTTTTTATTTAAAATTTAGTCTAATTATATTTGTCATTGAAATACACTATGTCAATTAAAGTGTGGTTTGACATTGAAATGGATATACTGTAATAGATAAACGACTATAATGTTCTAATATACCGTATAGATATAGTATAAATTGCTATTTTATACTGCAATTGAAGAATATCACACTTTCCTTGTTTTGAGGCAAAAAAGATAAAAATTTTGTGAGGAAAACGTTGCGATTGAGGAAAATCTTAGTTGTTTGTCAATTCAATTAAATAGTTTTAATAGTTAGTACACCAGTATATTAGATCCTATAATATCCCTTATATACTTTAATTATCTACTGTACAAAGTATGTGCTGTGTTAGATTTTATAATTTAAATAACAGTATAACTTGCGTTATTAAATAGTATGTAATAAATTTTATACGAAGGGTTCCATCGGTCTCTCTCTCTCTTTCTCTCTCTCTCTCTCTCTCTCTCTCTCTCCTAATATTTAGTGATGTAAAATGGAAATTAAATAATTTATTTGATATTATTTGATACTTATAAATATCATATATACAGATATAGAAAATTTCAAAACAGAATATTTAGCTTAATTTATTATACTGTACTTGCAAGTTTAGATTAACTGTTGGTTATTGACAAAAACTTATTGTAATCCGGAATTGACCTCTATTTTGATGAGGTTAAATTGTAAAATTTGTTGTGGTCATCTCAAAACTATAGAAATTGATTTTCATTCTAGGATCTAGAATCTAAGATTAATGTTAAAAATGTTTAACTCTTTTTTGTCTATCTTTACCAATTATTTATACAGTACTGGATATCGACTAATGTTAAATTATTATCAAGAAATTCATTGATTGGTTAAAGTGTGATCCCAAAGTCTACTTTTAATCATCATCAATGATATTTGTCCTAAACCATTATTTGTGTACTAAAAATAAATATAATAAAGTATTAATACAGTATAAATATTCTTATAAGCCAGTACAGTATTTGGTAGGGTGTATTATAATATTATTATAGTGTTCATATTACAGTGTATTTATATTTGTTAATATAGTTACTTTGTATAATTAAAAATATTAGCTTTCTTAAACAATATTAAACACTTTTTGTCAATAAGTAAGTTACTGCCTGTTTTTAATTGATCATATATTCAGTACTTAATTATTTACTATTTGAACACAAAAACAGTGTCAGATATAGAGATGTACTTGTATATTATACATATTATGTACCATTCTTTTAGAAAAATAGAAATGTGTCTTGCTATTTAAGTTTTAGTTATACAGTAATTCATATAATTTTCTTAATTGTTATTTTCTATATTTATATGAATATCTGACAATTTTAATTGGAATTTGACAGTAACAATTGAATTTGATCAGTTTTTACATTGGCGATCTATACTATACAAAGTTTGTAGTCTCTTTAAAATATTGAACTAACAGTGTGATAACCAACTTAACATAAATGAATCAAAAAATGATTGTGTTTAACTTTTTTGATTACTCAGAATTTGTTTTGTAAACAAAATCAGTTTTATAGTATTGTACACTTACTACTGTGTTTATAAATAATAAATAAACAACCTTATATTATATAAGTCCGTCCCGTGATTGTCGATCACAATTTGTGGAGACAATTATTTGTATCTTTAAGATATTAACATTCAAGTATCATATTGTTTTAGACTTGTGTGTACTGGTTACATATTACAATATAAATACAGTACAAATAAAATTTAAATAAACGGTAATTATACAGTCCATTTTTTATCAAAATTACTTTGCATAACTGTAAATTTATCAGCAAATTCTATATTATTTTTTAATTTACTAAATTGGTAGTGTTCATGTTATACACTACATTATAACCTAGCTGTTCTACAAATACTTTTATGTTAAAATAGTCATTAAATTGGTTCTAACAATAGAAACCACTTTCGTTCAAATATCAATTATTAAAGAAATAAATGAATGAATTGCTAACTATTATTAGAATTTTATATTTCATTGTTTGCAAACTAACGGCCCATCACTGCCTTCCGTTGTTTACTCAATTGATAACACTTTTGATTATTTGTATAGACTATAGAGTTTGAAATCACTTTTTATTATCGCATAACTATTACAGTTATAAGCTCACAATCTTTCCATAATTATGTGGAAAAGTTTAGTTCAAAAAACTTTTATATTTTATAACAACACGTGTCTATTCCTTGTATGGAAATGTATGGAATTTTTGTATAAATTAAAGCTTTCAAAATTAGTTTCATGAAATACGATCATATACTGTATAGGGTATCCCTAATTGCATAAATTGCACTGAAATTGACTAAAATATTAGCCGAAATTTGTTTTATGAGAAATATGATACAAACTATTGCTAATAATCAAAGGGTTGTTTAAATAAATGATTAAATTTAACAAAATAATAATATTCTGCTATAAAGTGTGACACAATCCATAACACTATTTATATCCGTATAATAATCTGGTAATAATTTTTGAAAATTAACATTCATTTCGCGTTTCTCAGCATAAGTGACTAAAACTATACGAACTGTTTGTATGAAAACAGTATGAATACGATAGGAGAGCGTTGAGCTCCCGTTCCCAGTCAGAGGGCATTCACGTTGACTGCAGTCTGAGCCTAATATGTGGTGAAGTTGTGTAATATTGCGACACATCTCAAGCCAACCGATGGTGTCCTGAATGTCACACAACACTCCTCTTCACACGACGTAATCATTGAATCATTTCTTCATTCAATTGCCATTTCATTGAAATACAAGTCATTCATAAATATCGTGCGAACCGTAAGCCATCTATAAATAGAGTTCACTTCCCTTTCCGTCAGTCCTTCGGACCTCTGCTTTGACTTCGACCACAAGTAAGCATTGATTTGCATCACTATTACCACAATTAGTTGACAATCACTTGGATTGCCATTCATTGGCCATAAGTAGTCGTCTATTAAATGCCAATCCATTTGATTGCACTGCAAATGAATGCCAATTATAGCCTATAATACAGCTATTTGTGTGCAATTCACTAATCAAAACATTGATCAATATTTTCAAATTTAAATTGTATTTCATTTTAATTAATTTTTTTAAATAAATATTTTGTTTGATTTATTATTATTATTATTATAACTAATGGTTTGAATGATATGTTTGTGACAGAGAGGGGATGAACAGCTCAAACATCACTCGTATGGCAGGTCTGGCCTCTA